ATATATATATATATATATATATATATATATATATCCATAATTATGTTTCTTAAAGTTGAACTACGGATTTTAGAAGAAAGCGAATTCAAATGTTGCGCATAAAATGAAAAAAGAATACTTCTCCTACAACATGTACAACTATTTGATTCAGACTACCAAAAAACTGCAAAAGCAAAAGTGACACAAACAAACGAACCTCCATCTTTTGTTCGATAATCTCATCGTACTGCGGGTACTCAAATTTGTACAAAAGACGAGCTCCTAAAGTAGCGTTAAAAAAATCCTGCAAGTAACTCCGTTTCATTTAAACCTACTTCTGCATAATTTAATTCTGAATAAATATCTATAGCTTAGTTATTTTTTTCAAACTAAATTGTTCGAAGAAAGTGCCAGCGGAAATAGAGGTAGAAGTTATGAAGATAAAGAAATTTTTTGATCTCGTCGCGTAAAAATGCTTTTCAAACAAACATTTCGATTCCTACAACAAAAAAATAGAAAAGAAAAATACAAACTTGTATCCCAAGTGCACAGTCAATTAAAGTATCCATCCGTAACCATATTTCGTGCATTCCGCGCACTACTTTAAGCTCCTTGTAATTAGGCAACGTTTCTCTCACGTGGTTAGAGTACTATATAAATGAATGCCCCTTATCAGTATTAGTTTAAAACATCTTAATAGAAAAACGAGTTAAAAATTGGGTTGGCATATAAAATAAGAATAAAGCTACTTCGTTTACAATATCATCGACAGTGAAACGAGCTGGCAATTTAGCAAGATGCAACTGTCTTGTTACCATGTCATAATCGTCAACCAACAGTTCCATTAACGTAGAAGGCATCTAGAAAGCACTTTTGAAGGTTAAATAGTCTTAGTGAAATGATATTTCTTAACCAGTTACCATAAAGTCCAAGATACTTGACAGTTGTGTCATGTGTTTTGAACTCTATAATGATTGGTTATTAAAGAAAAACGGTAAGGGAGCAGCCGATTGTTATAAAACATCAGTATTAATCTTATGGGAATAAGACTGCTATTTTCTTTCAGGAGTGAGTGACAACCTCAATTTTTATTTCCTTTTTTGGAGGCTCGAGAACCTCATTCTGAGTTGGTACTGGGCGAGATACGCTATTCTTTATCTTCCTCCCACCAGCTGTAAAAACACAAGGAGTTACAAACTTTAACACCTACAATATACAAGGCAAAACAAAAAGACCTCGCTCACTAGACGCTACGCTGGGAGGGGCACTTGGTAGTTTATCTGAAGGAGTACTACTCCGACTATCAGTGCCTCCCAGCTTTTTTTCATCACCAATACCAGGGAACTTCCGGCTTTTGCGTTTCTTCTCACTTTGTCGAGCTTCTTGCATTTCTGCCTGGAAATACTTGTTCAAAACCGTGACAAACTAAATTATTGTAAATGATTAAAAATCTGCTATAGAGAAACACACGTACCCTTGCCATCTCCAAATTTTCCTGAGTACACTGCAGAAAACGCGCTTTTATGTCTGCTTGAGGGATTTTTTCATCATGCCGAGAGTTCCACCCCTATATAAATTAAAAAGCAAAATTCTACACTTTCCTTACAACATAAGTTGAAAAATCGACTAATTTACCATAAACACTTTTAACTTTAAAAGTAAAAGGAATGAAGATTAAGGTGCTGAGAATCCAAGAGTGCCTACTTGATAATGAACGGTATAAGTCTTCCCTTGATCAGGGCTGTCATCAATAGCAATAACTTTTGCTTCATAATAGAGACTATCACGGTATTTGCACAACACCTTCGAATTAAGTTCAAATTCTAAGTCTTCTTTCAAATCTCCCTTAAAAAAACAATAAGTAAAGTCGAAAATTATAAAGACAAGCTACTGATAAAAAAGAAAAAACATTATACTCCATAACCTGAATCATGAATTTATTTTTTTACAGCTCCTCCTCTTTTTAGCAATAAAGTTACTACACTAGACAAACAAAACATAATTATGACCCAGTTTTTTAAGAGATGATGACTATAGATCCATTAGCACAACCTTCTCAATGTTAGAAAGCGAAATAAGCAAAATCCATTAAGAAACTGAAATGCGCTCTACCAGGTTCCTCATAATTTTCACAGATCAAAACGGAACTTTCACAATAAAACCTAGTTAAATAAAATTATTTACAGTAACTTACAAAAAATAAAGATAAAACGAAAGTTGGATATTGCATTAAGGCTGCGTTTTCGTGTGACGACAGCTACGGTCAGGATAAATGAATAACTTAAAGATATGGACCATAACTAATGAAAAAGACTTTCCCAAAAATAAATACAGGAGAACCTCATCTCCCAGTAAAGAACAGCTGTAGTACCGCTCAAAATAACGTTGCCATTTGGTTTAATCAAGAAAATTTAACAGTTCTGGCTAGACAGATGTGGAGCAATTAGTAGAATACTAAAATTACTGCCTGTTACCTTGGTTTCTTTGCTGGTGGAAGGATCCTTTTTCAAAGCTTTTTCCATCGAGTCTTTCTCTCTCCCTTTAACTTGCTTGACGACAGGTGTTTCTTTTTTTATGACTCGGTCTGTCGAGCCTTTCTCCTTCACTTCTTTCCCAGTACTACCATCCTTCTTTGGCATTGGTCTTCAACCTAAATTTACGACACATTGAAGATAACTGTACAAAACCCAACTGTAAAACTTCAATTCGTTTGCCTAATATAATGACCGACTCCGAAGGCCTTTACAAAGTGGGATTCTTGAAAACCAATGCGAAGAAAAGCAGAGTTGCTACAGTAAAATTTTTAAAATTACTATGCGCTTTCCATCTGAATCGCATTTTACTCCTCCAAAAAAAAAAAGTTATACGAGCTAAAAATTTCAAAATAACGAATGATGAAACAGAAAAATGCAAAGAGTCTTTAGTGCATAAATCTAGATTCTTTTCATAATGAGAAATAAAAACTCGTACACGTAATGAATAATATTTCCAGAAGTAATAAGGGCTTTTTACAGCGCTTGTATAAACAAAAAATAGTGTGTGCTTAAAGACCAAGAAAATTACGCCAAAAAATTGTCTATAACGTTCACATAGTTAAAACATGGTCTTCATAAAATAATAGAGCTAACAGGAAAGCCTACATCAAAGATAACCAGGAGAAATGAAGTTTTTAGTAAAGAAAACCTAACGGAAAACAACATCACTGTCCACTGAAAATTCTGGTAAAATTTAAGCTGTTCTTCAACACGTCTCCATTAATATCCATCTGACAAAACCGCTTGTCATTCCTCCAGCTTAATTTTCAGATAGCAAACCCAGACAAATTCAAAAATTTAGTGGAAGCATAAGTAGACTATTTCCAAACGGTATTGCTTGTATGCTTCATCAAATATTTAAATTTTGAGATTGGCAGTGAGCCAACTGATACTGGCAGTCAGGCAACTACATTTAAACATCACTGTCGGTGTGGCCGCTCGAACCCACAAGTGGTCAGTGGTCTCCAGGTTCTTTGCGCTCATTGCTACCGTTGTTTTATATCAGGTCTGCAACAAGCATCAACTGCAATGGCACGGTTAATGGGGTTAATGGTACAGTTGAGAACAGTAGTCGCGGTACTGGTGTTACTCGGTCATGTTTCTTAAAAGATTAATCACACTACTGAAGTGCGCATTGAAGAGCATATGCCATAAGTTTTACCGTAAACTATTCATGCACATTAGTTCACTGGGGTAGCGCTTGATTTTTTACAGTCAAACATATCATGTTTGAGAGGTAGATTAATCAGCACTATCCGATTGACAAGAGCCACTGAAGGAAAAGGGTCGACAGTATAACACTCGCTTTGCCTGTCTTTGTTGGGACAGTTTACTTGTATTATGCAACAGACTTGTTTAAGCTACATTTTCACAATAGAGTGAAACATGGTACACACTATTGGCATCGGTTTTGACGACAGTGCACGAAGATCAGCCTATCTCACATTTTTGGGGTAGCAGTCTTGGTAAAAAGTAAGAGAGAGTGTAAAGGAAGCAGTCAAGTTATATTGCATTAGCCAGGCGTCGAAATAATTGTGTTTGGCCTTTGAAAATCGGCGTATTATTAGGAAATCTGTTTCAAAGGATAATGTTGGCAAATTGACCTTCTTTTAGCTGGTTAAAGCTTACAGCATTCAATTTCAAAAGTTGCAGTTACGGCTCTCATTAGAAAGAGTATGGTATGATTTGTAAGGGCTATAAACATCCAATTACCCAATAAACATTGGAACGGCTGATCTTTTAAGGCTTAATCGCTTTTTTTTCTTTTTGTATCTTTTAAGGTTTAAGTATACCGTTGTTGTTGTTGTTGTTGTTTATGTGGAAAACTCGCTGAAATTATGTGTATCTTATAATGTTTCTTCCTTAAGTTTCAATAGCCCTTTCAATTGCTAATGTATTTTTCTATAACCAAATAAAGAATAGTTTTAGTGATGTTTTCCGCGGAACTCCTTTTGGGACTCCTTTGCTCATTTTCAATTTTATGGACTCTTACAATGTTAATGCTTTAAATAGGGGAAAAGTGAAAAAAGACGTACTTGAAGTGGTAAAACGGATCGTAGACCGTCAGAAGTTTTTATTGCCTCTCAAATCTGACTTGACAAGTTAACTAAAGATAGTTTATTGGAGGATGTCAACTGAGAAATTACTGCTGTGAAATTGGTGTATTCAGGTATTAGTTGTTGCATTATCAGTTATCTCATCAAGCTATATTTATCTTTCTGATTTTACGGTTTTTTATTTTTATTTTTTACTTTTTTTTTTTTTGTTTTTAGTTATTTTACCTTATTTTATTTTTGTCTGTTTTAGTTATTTGTGTTTATACTTCTATTTCTATTTATGTATATTCTTTTTATTTTTAAAGTTGGTCTGACGGTCAATTAAGAGAACAGTCTCACAAGATAAGTAAATTAGTTTATTTTAAAAGAAAATTTAACAGTTTAAATAGGTAAATTAGTCGTATTCATCCTGTGGCTTGACCTCGACCTCTGACATTATAGTTAATCAGATTATTGACAACAAAACAGTATCAGAAGAAGGCATTTGAAAAATTATTATTTCAATTAAGGTTACTTATGATTTTCTGGTTTTGTTTTTAAATACTTTGGTGAATATTTAACGGAAGTCAGAAAAAAGTGAGAGTTAAAAATGTTTTTTTTTTCTTACTGACGTTTATTTTTGCTCAAAATGTAATGCAGTTTAGTTTTATCTTGTTTGTTTCAAAGCTGTAAGATTTGCAACCG